CGGTGAGCATCTCTTATTGATCGTGGAGTCTTTGCATGGGGTCCGGCTATTGATCAGCTCTAATTCTGCTCACGGATCAAATAAAGGAATCTACCATTAACTGTGAGGACTTCAAATGTCAGCGAGACGGCTGGGGGTCATCGAATAAATTGCATTCCACCTTTGTACTGACACATTGTGCTGAAATTGAAAGCGAAAAAGTGTCTATTCTTGAGCAGCGGGAGAGGGAATGAAAAAGAATACTGTCTGCTTGTCCTGTTTATCAATTTATGAGTCATCTGTTTTAATTACTTGTTTACCAGGGGGGGATTTAATTAATATTCACTCTATACAGTACACAGGATATCTAAATTTACTTCAGCTTAATGTAATAAAAGTTATCGTGGACCATCCAGCAGGTAAAAACACACACGACGGCAGCAATTAAATCAAACATGGTCTTGTTATTACAGTCAACAACTGCTGTATTTCCATATTATAATTAACCTCACACATGCCCACACAACATGCTTAACGTAAAACCACAAAAGATCATTTTAATCCTCAAGTTGCATTTGATGCTGAGTAGAAACGACAATTATTTAGCACGTAAAAAAAATGTTGTCATCATTTACTCGCCCTTGTGTTATTCCAAAACTATTAGACTTTTATGCATTTTTGAAACAAAAATAACATATTACAAGAAAAAAAAATCAACTAAGCTTAAAAACAGTAATCCACAGTAATTCCAATTTCATGAAGCTATATATTGAGGCACAGTATGTATTTTAACCCACTGGAGTCATGTAGATTACTTTTATATTGCTTTACTGAATTTTTTAGGATCAAAACCTTGAAGTGAACTCAGTTTTAATAAAGAAGCAGAAATCTCTCATGTTTCCTTAAGACGAACAAAACCTTTGATCTTTAACCATACTGTTCAAAAAAATCTCACCATAAACAGCAAAAGTCGTTCCAGGGCAGTCGAAAAATGTGGAAAAATCTTAAAAATCCTTTATTGACTTGGCAATTCCTTTAAAAGCGTACAGTTTTAAAGCTATGTCAATAGAGATTTTTCAAATATTTTCCACATTTTCAGAGTGCCTTGGATTGATTATTGCTGTTTATTCAGATGAATCCCTTACCTAAAGAGCACCAACATATTATTTAATAACCGTAATGTACGGTCAAGGTACGGTATGCTTTTATGACCGTTTCCACTGTCAAAGGAGAATTAGAGTTAGACACGCAACTGAACGCTATTTGTTTACAGAGATACATCACTTGCTCATGGACAAGCAGGAGAATAAAAAAAAGGAACCGCCATTTTTAAAAACATAGCCGAGACGTTGCACTGTTCTAATATATACATATAATAACAAGCCATGGTTGACCAGAGCTTAAACAAACCTTGTCGTCATCTTGATGAACAGCGACAAAGCCAAGAAGAACAAAACCTGCCATGTCCTGTTGTTGTTTTACGAGCCCGTTTTAAAATGCGAGCAGTTTTAGTTTCTCCAGAGAGCTTGCCGCATGTCTATATTTAAAATAACTAACTTCTTGAGCTGATGATAATAACGTGCACATAATTATTGAAGCACTTCTGACATCCCATCCTTTCAAAAACAGACCAACACGAAAGTGAAGCACAAAAAAACAATAGAGAAGCTGGAAAAACAAAGGAGCAAATGATTCTTTCAGTAACCTAAAACATGAACAAACTGCCATGTTTAACTATTCTCACCTTTTGGACTATTATGATCTCGAAATGACGGGATTACTTTTTGAACAAGAACTCACAAGTGCTGGAGAAGATTAAAGATATAGATAAAGGGTTTGCACTGACTGTGTTTTGTGTTGTTTTTGAACCCAAATAAGGACTAAATGTATGCACTGGGTAGTTTTTCTATAATCGGTAGCATATCGGAGACTTTAAGGGTCGTTACGTGTTCATATATGTTGCATTTATTTATTTATTTTATATAATTTTAGACGTTACAGTAGCCTATTTCGCACTATCATTGATCTGCAGTTATAGTCAAAGCTTGTTCATAGAAAGGGTAGTAATGAACATTAATACACAAGTATTTATGTGTATAAAGCATCTGTTTTGTGAGAAGTGCTTCTCATATGATTTGTAAACGACCTGTACAGCTTTACTTTGACATTTCCTTCAGCGAGAATGACGTCGACTGAAACTTTCTGCCATACATCACGCCATTGGTACCCTTTTGCCAGTGGAAACACAAATCTGATAAAGATGACCCGTACTAGAAGAGGTACTATACTATTCAGTGGAAATGGGCCATAAGTTACCTCTGAGCACTTTTTGTTTGATTTTGAAGCATATTTAAGAGTGAACTGCAGACATGCTAACCTACTTTTTGACAACAAAAAGATCTTTAAATGCATGTAATGTATCAAACACTGTGACTGCAGATAGGTTTTTTTTCATACATTCATATAACTGTAAATCAATGTTTGGGGTTAAAACTATATTATATGGAACAGCAAAATCCCTCTGTAACTTCTCATGTCATGTCCATTTGACACATTTTGCACTCCAACTCACACAAAAGTTGCATAAAGTTGAACTTTCTCAGCTTTTGTGACATGACTTGCATTGCTCGATGTGCCTACATCCACTTGCACCGATATTAATCACCCATTAATCAACTCTCTATTAAATATGAATGGGATTGTGTCATGGACAAGCCAGAACTGTTACAGTTAAAATCCCTTAACTGTAAATCCTTTAAATCCCTTTAAGATATCAAGAGTTGATATCCTTAACTTATTGTAAAATGTACATTTATTGTAACATTAGCCATTAAAATACCAATAAGGTCTCGTTATCCTCTTGTTTTGCTTATATATTATCAATAAAAGTAGCTTTTATAGGTGTCAAGCCACTTCTTATTTAATCAACCTTTGGCACAGAACAATCCTGCCCTTTTTTCTGTGTACTCAACCCCCTCTGGTCCAGCCCGGCAGGTGCTGACGGGGATGGTTTGCTCTAAAGATTGAGCCCACACAGAGGGGGAGCAGCTGTGGGCAACTTTCCTCAGGCGCCTCCGGACACACATTCAGTTTCTGGCACAAGAGACCATTCAGCATTACACAGAGTCAGGGCCTTCACTATTCACCATCAAACAGATCAGGATAGGGGCTGCAGAGTGATACTACTGTAGAAGGCTTTCGATTAAACTGCTGCCACATTTAAATATGACTGAGCTTTATAACGGGTCACTGAATAACAAATGTCTTATCTTCAGGGGGGAAAAAAGGAAAAGATGGTGAGGAAGAAGTACTGGAATATCATAGACTAATGAGCGTGTTGAGTTTTACACCTGAGCGAACGCCATGAAATTCACGAGGGATGGATTTGTCTTCCCACTCCCATTCAGCTTTGAGAGAATCAGCAGATGGAGCTTAATTATATTGTTCGGGGACCCTCACAATCGGCATCTTAATATCTGTTAATAAGGCCATTACACAATTGTTTTCATTCCATCTGACTGCTTTTGCTCAAAACAGGGGGGAAAAAAGGGAAAAAAAAAAGCATGAGTTGCTGATGGATCATTGGTCTGATCGCATGAAAGGAGGATGAGGTGGGAGGACCTACGTGTAGCTCAAATTCACATCAAGAAATGAAATATTGGTAGCCTGGGGGAGACGAATGCGTAGATTTAATGTTCGTGTCTTTGATGTGCTCTCTGTAGTATAACAGAACAAAGAATATTTAAAACATGCCACAGAGCTGAAAGACATCTGCTCTCTGATTTTCATATTCAAGTGTCTAGTTTGCATCATATTCTCAAAAACTCCATTATCTAAACTTGATTTTATCCTTTGATGATTTAGAGCGAAATACAATCTGAGAAAGAGTCAAATAGAGTGCTTCCAAAGCGTTTTTTGGTCTTTAGTACAGAGCAAAGAATCACCTCAGTAGCACTAAACAAGGTATGTGCTTTTTATTTCAGACACTAATTATACTCAGTAATATTATGAAACTTAAGATTTGCTTTCAAATGATCAATGATTTAAGTCTACCTTTATAAACACGGTTTATGTTGTTTTTCCAGGTGCACAAATGAAAATTTGCTATATATAGACATAACTAACAGTGCTTTCGTTATAAAAAAAAATAATACCTTCTGTAAGTTCAAAATTGTACTTCTTTTGGGAATCATTGAGATAGAAAGAGAGAGAGAGAGAAAGAGAAAGAGAGAGAGTGAGAGAGTGAGTGAGACTAACACTTTCAATCCATTCTCCATAACCTCATTATTTATTGCTGCTGTTAGAGATCAACATGAGTCTAAAGAGCTTGAAATGCATTGATTAATCAGTTCATTGGCTATTAACCCTTGTTTTCTAGTGCTCTGATCCTCTATTCTGTTTAAAGGAAGCTGCTGCATGTTGTGCGCTTTGAGATTAGAAATACAAATATCTTATTGACTACTAAATCATAATATGACCTGTGACCCATAAAAACGGACAGAAAATATCAATATTAATTAATCTCGATCAATTTTTTAAGCATTATGAAACGATTTAATGATGTATCGGCGACGAAGCGTGCGCGTCCATCATGACGCATAATAGAGATTCATTGCAAGCACAGGACTGAAATGAAATGGTGAAGGAAAAGCGGACGTTAAAAATGTGTTTAACTTGGTAATTAGATTATTTCCCAACGGCATGATCCCAATCCCAGCGCGCATTTCGGGTAACGCACATATTTGCATCTGAACCTATGCACTTTTTTTCATTTGAAACGCATTTATCACTATTGCGTTAAAAAGAACCACAATTGATGCAAGATAAATATTGTATTCAGCACAAATACAATCGACTTGATCTCCGTGAGTATGCGCAACAGGGAGACAAAAACTTTCACAATCCAGGCTTCTTTCATTTTATCATTCTGCCATCAAAGCAACAGATACGAAGAGCAGCTACCGTGGCTTGATATTCGCTTCACACATTTTCTCCACACTGTAAAAACGGGTTGTACTCACACGCATAAGTCATGGAGAAGCTATTGCCCAATTTGACCATATCCACTTGAGGTACCAGTTTAGGGATATCCTGGTGATGCGAGAGCGCAAAACGAAACACTTCATATTCGTGTGATTCGGTTGGGAATAACCCTCCTGGGGAGAAAGGAAAATCACAGAATAACGTTAAAACTACTCAAGCAGCTTTCTTGTACAACAAGTACATTAAATAACACTATACATACGAGGTATCTCCATTTTTTTAATCGCGCGCCTTTCTCCACTCTATCCCTCACTTTTGTCATTCACTCACCTATGTTGATATTACTTGGGAAACTGGAACCGAAGCACAATCCCAGAAAACTGGTGCAGAGCAGTGTGAGGCTTCGCTGCATATTTCCTTTTGCATTAGCGAAGATAAAGAAAGCCAAATCCCAAGCATGGGTATGCGCGTGGTGTTGAATATCTCTTCTGGATGCTCTCACACTATCCACACATCGGCGAGTGAGCAGCGTGGATTACAGGTGCACCTCTTTGCGCGTGCTGTCTTCTCTCGCGCTCGCGCCGCGTCCTTGTGTGTTGCGCTCAGTCGTTCCTTTAGCACGAGCAGCATTTCCTCTGAACGCCGCGAGCGCGCGCGGGGGTGAGAGAGAGATAGAGGGAGAGAGAGGGTCTCCAAAACCTGCACTCCACTCCAGCGCAACACGGTGTGCGGACTTTCTTATCTACTTTACAATTAGTGATTAAATTGTACGCGCTCTAATTAAGAACTGATGGCGAATGACGAGTAAACACACACGAGGGCATACATTATGCGACTCCGTGCTTGTCAATAACATTATTCGTGGAATTCGGTTATTAACTCTGCTTTTTTTCCTTTGTATGGTAATACATTTGTTTTCATGTTTAAAAAAAAACTGAAATTAGAAGTCATTACATATTTTAACTGTGATTAATTTCCTGTTTCCAGCAGTTTCAAGGACTGTATGATCTTCACAGAAAACAATTGATGAGGGGACAAACTGAGACTAAATCGGATGCTAATTAAACAGTTGGACATATTTATAACAGTTTTACCAAATTAATTTAGGTAGAATATTTTAATAAAAAACTCAAAGTCTTTTTTGGAAGTTTGCCAGTGCCTCTTGTTTGAGAACCGCTGTTTTAGAATATGGTACATAAACTTTACTGGCCGGCGTCGACAGGGAGACCATCTGCTGCGCATACAACCAAAGACGGTTGCTGCCCAGTTCCCTCATATGGAAATAAAGGATTCATGCAGGCTTTCAGTTCACCATACTGTCTAAACACACGTGGATGTATTTACCTTTATCAACATTATCTGCATAATCATGTCCTAAAATAAAGTTTAACCCAAAATCCTCCTGATCGGCATGCCTTAGTTCACCCAAAATGAAATTCTGCAATCATTTACTCATTCTTCTAAACCTGCTCAGAAATGAAAGCTTTAGCTATAGTTCTACCAGGTAGACTAAGATGCCACGTCATTCATTATAATTATCTTGTCAGCCTATAAAAACCAAGCAAGCCATATAAGCCCATCTAAGCAATCGGTTTCGCAGTACTCAGGTAAAGTTTCGGAAGTTTCGGTCACGGTGCGGAAGTTTGGACTTCCGACATTGCTTATGTCTCACTGGTTTGTTCATTTCTCTGTCCGTGTTCACATAACAGCTTAAAGTTGAACAGCTTCGTCAAATCACTTCATTTTCGCTATTGATTGATTTCGCCATTTCGCTTTCATTACTCACCAATCCGCCGATCGTACGTTTACATGTCCTTGCATAAGGTTAACATTAAAAGCTTTTAGCACTTCTAACGTTATATCAAATTGAACCAAATCAATGGCATAATCATAACCGAATCGTGAGACCAGTACAGGTTCACTCCTTGAGAAAATATGCTGTTTCAATTAACCAAGCTGTTACATGTACATAGTCAGCCTAACATGTGAGTCCACTACATACATTTTAAGTTTTAATCGTTTCCTTTCATTTCAAGTAATATCGTCCTGTGTTGTCTTTGCAGCTACTGGTGGTGGTCCAGTTGGATTTTATGGCACTTCGCACTCCATGACATCTCGGCTTACCAGTTTTTATGGTTCATTGGTTTCTTCTATATAGCTAAGTCTATTGCGGCCTTCCTAATCTTGGCTTATCAATGCTTTTTAACTGCACTTATTGTGACCTTTTATTGTAGCGCTTTTTCATGGACATAACTGTTCGATAATGCAATTTTGGTATCATCACAATTTAACTTTACCTTTCATAAACATATTTCGATTCATTTACGTAACATCATATATAATGTGATTAAGCACCATTAAAATCAATCAATCAATGAATCAATCAATGAATCAATCAATGAATGAATGAATCAATCAATCAATCAATCAATCAATCAATCAATCAATCAATCAATCAATCAATCAATCAATCAATCAATCAATCAAATCAGACCAATAAATACATATTGTAATAATACAAATGATATAACTATTATTACTATTACTTGTTTTTTTATGTAATCATGGTGCTAGCAATGTAAAGATTATGAATTTTATTCAAAGAAAAATGACCCTTCTTACACTGATAAAATGGATCCCTTCAATCAGTGTACATTCTTTTGGATAAATTTGTTAAATTTAAATTTTTAAATGCCTCCAAGATGTTAAGAACATAATTAATTCTTATTATTTGAGATATGTGTAACTTTCATAATCTTGAAATTGTGCATCAAATTTACCTGCAAACTACATTACTGTAATAACAATAATAATTTTAGCAATTCAAAATTGCTGACTGTTTATGACCATAAAAGACAAACAGTCACAAGATATTTTGCGCTAATTCTAGACTCATGTTTTATTGGTCAAATTGGCATATTAAACGTTTTAAAAGTGTAGTTTAAAGCAAAGATGTAAGACATGTTCATATTTCAAGGGATTTTAGATGAAATAAGAGCAACAATATTTGAACCTTAATCTCATTTTGCCAGGGATGCAATTTAGATCTTTTATCATTTTATCATGATCATCTTTTAATTGGATTGCACATATTGAAACTCTAACATAAAAGTATGATACATTGACAGACAGCACAACCAGTGAATCAGGCCCTGAAACCATCCTTTATGATGTTGCTGGGCGATCTCTACCACTTACAGCAACACAGCCGGCTTCACAGCCTCTTTGAGCTAGAGAGAGAGCAATGACAAGATTAGAGCTCTCGTGTTGATTCAAAACAACAGTGGGTTATTTATAATCCACTGCACTTTTAGTGCCATTGAGATTACCTGCTGGCAAACACTGCAGGAAACAACATGCCAGTCAGTGTCACAGCATCACTACAACAATTCTGAAACGTGAACCTCATGATTTTATGTAGTCCATATCGCATCCTTAAACCTGAAGTAATGTATTTGCTTGTAACTAGACCCACATGAAATCTGTGCACGCAGAAATCAGCAGATTTTTAGCCCTTCATTGAGTGTATTTATTTATTTGCGTAAATGTGTTTAAAATTATATTGATTTTAAATTAATTTTTTAGTAATATCACTGAAAAATGTGAAAATGTTCAAATGATTTTGTTTCAATACAGTTTGTCTTTTAGTAGATATATTATAGGAAAGACTTGCTCAGTTTACCCAATAAGTGGATCTAATTGAACATTAAACAATAAATAAAAGATAAAAAGCAAATATTTTAGTTACGATTCAGCATAAACCTGAAGATTCTTCACAAAATTCTGTGCAGAAATAGCAAACAATAGCCCCTTTCACACATACAGACCTTTCCGGAAAATTGTCAGTAATTTTCCAGAATGGTATCATGTGTGAACAAGCCCTTTTTGAAAATACAGGTAAATTTGTTCCGTAGATTTTCCAGAAAGAGAAGTTGCAAAATTACCGTTAACACCACTGCCACAAAATGCACCCCCTCATAGACTTTCATAGTATTCTCAGTCTACATTTAATAATAATAAAACAAATCAAAGGTCACAATTGATTAAAACATAAAATGATTATTATTTTGATGGATGAAGCAAGGACAATAAGTAAAATGCATTTTAAAACACACTAGGTTTGCAAAAAGTGTAAAATTATAATATTGACTGTAGTGTAGCCTATAATTGGGCTTTTTAGTGGGTTTTAAACAGACATTTAGGCTACATGGAACACACCAAACAATTTACTTAATCTCATAGGTATTGTATTTGAAGTCAATTCAGTTATTTACATTCTGTAAGGGAAGAAATCTATTCACAAAACTCTCCTCAGTCACTCTCTTTAGTGGCATAACTCTTTTATCATTATTATTATTCAACTTTATTATTATTATTATTATTATTATTACCAATTTCAGTTAACAGATGCACATTTCAGAGGGGGTGCATTTTACGGCAGGGGTGTGCCTACACTGCTCTGTGTGAACGCTGAAGAAAAATTGCCGGAAAGAGTGCACACGTTTCGAATGCGCTGACGTGAGACGTCTACTCCAAACAAACATGACATTCAGACACATTCACATCCGCACTGTTCATAAAAAAAGCCTTTGAATATTTTTCCAGACACATTCAGCTGCTAGATGTTCGTAAGATAACGTTTCTATGTTTCTTTTAGTGCCAACTGTTTAAAGAATGATCAATAAAATGCTTATGATAAACCGCTGTTTGTTTACCTTCAAGCTCTGCTTCAGTTGCTTGACACATGTGCACGTGAAGAAGTGATGAGCACCAGCACACACACATATTCTTGACACGTGAAAGTGTTACTCCATATGTTTTCATCGGAGTTGTTCACAATACTTATCCATCCACAGAATTTCTAGTGTAGTCAAATGTGTAAACTGCTCGTGGATGTCTCGGACAAAACAGCAAATAAATGCTAAAGCTTTAAATAAAAGTGAAACCATCAACAAAAGCCTGAACCCTATTATATATACAAATACAAGCAAAGTCGTAGAGGTCATATCTGGTTAATTATGTCAGAATTTACCGGTAATTTGGATGGATGGGTAAACAGTCATTTCCAGAAAAATTCCGGAACGACCTTGCCTGTGTGAACAGCCCTTTTTTAATTTACCAGTAAAGTCATTCTAGTAATTTTCATAATATTTACTGGTATCACTTTGTAAAAGGGGGTAATATCGCCAGAGTCTGTCTGGCCTTAGTTATAACTCAACTAATCGTAGTTTCTACAGCATTTAGCATCAGGTTTTAAATGCAAGGTGGGCTTAAATGCCAACAACATCACTTTGTCAAGCCTTTTGTGAAGTTCCCTGCTTGTTTATGAAAAAGGTTCTAAATCCTGCTTTTGACATAATTAGGATTAAGGATAAGCTCATTTATCAGACCCGAGCAATTTCTCTCCTCTGGATAAAGGAAAAATTGCTTTCCTGCTTAATATTGTCTCACGCAAACAGAGGGCTCAATTAGCATATTTTCACTGACAATAGAATTTAAGCGATTAAACGGGTGCAGGGTGAAGAGTGTTTTCTCCTGTCTTCAGTTTAACACGTACAGTGATAAAACAAGATAGATACTGTTTTTTGTGCCTGCTGTGACACCTCTTTAGATGCAGGAAATC